GGAAAGAGATATAGGCAGGCAGCGTAGAAGTGGCCAGGTGGGGCAGATTCTATAACAGGACCTGTTCACTGACACTCAGCTCTGTTTCTTGCATGACAAATCACAGCACTCTTCACCTTCTTGCCCTCTGTGTCCCTTGTCCTGCAGAGCTCCAGTCCTTGTTAGGTACCACTTTGGGTGTAAGTAGTACTTTAAAGGTACCTGTAAGGTTTGCAGCTGACTGTAACAGGAAAACTAGAAATGGGGGTTTTCTTCCATAGTCGCACTCTGAGCTTGTAGTTGTGTTTACATGGAAGAACCCCAGGCCCCTGAAATTAATCCATTCTGGGCTCAGCTCCAAGAAAATTGTTTCTGTAATACTGATAAACTTGGGGACTCTGCAACAAGCATCACGGGGAGAGGTTGTAGGCAGAAATACTGGCCATAGTATTTGAAATCGTTGCCAAATCACGGCTAGTGAAGGTGAATGGGTAGAAAGCAGCTTGCAGAATAAGCTTCAGGGCAAAGAACCCTTGCTGTGTTAGTTCTTGGGGGCAGTTGCTCCCTAGACTTCAATTTTCTATGAAGGAATACGTGTCATGCACCTGCCATTAGCTGCAAGACCTGCTTTTCCCAGCAGATGTCAGTCGGAGGCTGCTGCCAGCTCCCCTGTCTCCAGGAGTTCTATTCCAGTTTGTGCTGCACAGTACTGTCTCTCAGGCCCCAGCAGAAAAAATCAGGAATCGAAGAGAAATGCTCAACAAGTGCACTGTGCTTGATGGGAAGCCTCCCAGCAAGCAGACGTAACTCAGTAGGCACCTTTTAATTAATTTTGTCTGGGAAGGGGTCAGGTGGCCTTGTTAGTGACTGCTCAGCCATGCTTATTAGTATCTGTGTCCCACCCTGTCCTGTTTTGTGGGTGATGGTTACACCAAGGACATGTGCTTTCTAACTCAGTCACTGAGGCTGTGGTCTTAGCAAGACTGTTTAGTGACTGTGCAGCTGGGTAGGAGCTGTGGAGGAACACAAACCTTTCACTGCAACTCAGAAAACATTGTGGCATATCCTGGGTTTTCTGGCTGAGGGGTATAATGTTACGGTCCATAAATATCTGGAGGTAATCTGAGCCCTTAGTCACCTCCTGGTTTTGCAAGCTCCCTAGTCAGCCATGATGCAATTACTCCTGATTTTGTCCCCATTTACACTCTTTATTCTTTGATGTGTAGTAGTGGGTTTAACAGCGGTGTTTGCTATTGGTTTCCATCTTCTGTTTCTTGGTTTCTTTCTTTCTCATTATTTTTTCCTTTTTTCATTCCCCCCTTTTCCCTTTTTTTTCCTTCTTTTTCTTTCCCTTGTTGTAATTAAGCTTTTTAAGGAATCCATGTTGGTTTTTGCAGTTGATACCCAGATTTTGCTCTTAACTACTGTACTGGAGCTGGGAACACAGGGCATAGGATGCTGGTGATGAAAGGGTGGAGGAGGCTGAGACCTGTTGGAAAAATTGAGGACAGACACATGGCCCTAAGTTCCCTGATGGGATGATCTGTGCTTGGAGTGGAAAGTTCAACTGAAGAACCCTTCCCAACTCAATCTGTATGTCTTTCAAAGATAACAAAATCAGCTGGGAGGATTCTGGGACTTGAGTGTTCTCAAGACCCCAGCTGAAGCTGGACCATCTATTTCCCTGCTAGCTTCCCTTCAGTTGCACTTTGTGCTCTTTGTTGGACAAGCATGCAGGTGTGTTCTCGTTGTGCCTTGTCCAAACTCTTCACACTACGCATCTCAGCCAAGCCTCTCTTCTTTCAGCTAAGGATGCTGAATTTTAGGTGCTAAGAGATGTTCTTGCTCTACCAAGTTCCATTCATCATACAACACACAAGAGATGAGTGCACTGGGAAGCAACCATGGGCTGCCAGCAGCAGCATCTGAACACAAATAATGCCTGTTCTCTTTGTAAGGAAGTGGAGAGCAGCATTATTTTTCTCTCAAGTCAGCTTGAGTAAAGCAATGTGGGTTTAGAATGCTATCCACGGTGGTGGTGCAGAGCTCAGTAGCTTTCTAGCCTCTTCAGGAAGGCTCTACCTCATAGTCTTTGAATACTTCCCGCATCTGCCTCCATAGTATCCCTGATATGCAAAGAACACATCCTGCTTGCTGGTGCCTTTTGGCTTCTCCCCTGTGGCAAAAACCTGTTTGTTGATCTTTTCTGCAGTATCATGGTACAGAAGACTTGTGCACCCCACTCACACAGTGTTTCTCTGGTGTTTTCCAGGATGATGGACATCGCAAAGGCCATGCGGTTGAAGGTCTCCAGGGCAAAGGGGCTGCCAGAACTTGAGAATGATCAAAACCACAAGCTGGGCACTCTCTCTCTCCCTTTGCCTGTGCAGAAGGCATCAGGGAACCAAAGGAAACGCAAGAAAATGAACTAAAATGTCTGGGAGGGGCAAACCAGTTCTTTTCTCAACTGCTGTACCACATCATAGGGATGCTTTTGTCTGTTGGATTTGACTGTCCAGCATCAGCACATAACCGTGCTGAAATCCTCTCTCAAGGCTGGGTTGCAGCAGATGTTCACCTCATTAAACTGCTTATTCTTTCCATTTATGTAGAAAAAGCTGTAGTAAAACTTTTTTTCTTTTTTCCTGTCTGTATGAGGGGACAAAGATGAGGTTGTGCTGGAGCAAGAAAACATGGTTTAAAACTGCAAGTCCTCCACTGACTACTGAGGATTCCCAGTCCTTGGAAGAGAGACTTCTGGGTTAATTTATCTGCATATTCAGTCTAGTCCTGGGCTGCAAGGCTTATTCCAAGTGTATACTAAGCAAGGTTGTAGGAATCTGGGGCTTGTGAAAAGCTGAGGATCACCTCCAAGAGAAAAAGCTTACATGAAACAGGAACATGGGCTGTCAAGAGCAGTCTTCTCTTTGAGGTGTCTTTGCTCGAGATCATAACTTTAGTACATAATTTTGGGATTTAAGCGTACCTTGTCTCACTACTCACAGCTCTGTCACTCATGGAAGTGACAGAAACATCCAGTTTTCTGGGTAAAGGAATTAATGCCATTGGAATTGCAGGCTGTAGATAGGAATGTTTCTATCACAGAATTGCTGAGATTGGAAGGGAACTCTGGTGATCTCTTCCTCCAGTCCCCCTGTTCAGCCAGGGCTACCCACAGCTAGGTGCTTTTGCGAAATGGGTGGCTTAGTGTTAAAGAATGTCCATCAGAGGTTTTAGCAAGAGCCGTTTTACTACGATTTAAAAAGGCACAACTTAACAGAATTCAGTGATGAGGTTCACTCTATTACTTATTACATGGATGACCCATACAAAGGAAGATTGAGGAAAGATTGAGCTGAGTATGATTGATACAGAGACCAAAGTCACAAAGGGTAAGGGAAACCCTCCTGTTGAATTACGAGACTCAGAGTAGACCACCTTCCTTTCTAAACTCCTGATGGAACCTAGGTGCAGCTGGATCTAGTCTTGGTCTCAGATGTGGTCAATGGTATTCATCTAAAGAGTTACAAATGCCATTAAGGAGCAGTTTGCAGTTTTAGGGTGGATCTTATAAAGTCAGTTAATGGAATTTACTACAATTGCTATAAATTTATCCACGCATACACATACATAGACACATAAATGTATACCTGTTAAAAATTTCCTTGAATCCATGAAAATTCACCTTAGCATTTCTCAGCAGATGAGGGTTGAATCTGGAGGAGTGGAGGACTTCAGCCTAGGCTCCATCTTTTGGTGATGGTCTTGACAGTCCTCTGATTATTGCAGACTGCCAAGCTTGCTGACTCTGAGGGGTGTCCCACTTGGAAAGAAATGCTGATCACTGCCTGCTGTGGTACAGGAGAGTTCAAAGGGCCTCACTTTGGACCACTATTTATAGTGGCTGTAGTCATTAATAAATCTCCATCCTGGCTGCAACCCAAGTTGGTAATTACTAGAAATTTTTCAGAACTCCAGTAACAGTGGTACTGTTCTACTCGGGCTGCAATCAGGGGAGGAGTGTTCTGGAGCTGTCAGGGAATGACTGATTATACCTGCTGTTGCTTCCCACCATGGGCAGGGTCCCTAGTGTGATCAGTGCCTCCCTCCTTAGCCATGTATTAGTTCCTGGTATGGTCAAGGGATGCTTCACCACCCAACTCATTACAAAAACGCCAAGAACTGACAGGAATTCCTGGATTGTGGAGCAGCCCAGAGGGTAGGGGGTTGGAGGAAGGGGGTTGCACCACCACAGAACCATATCCATGTGACTTGTGAGTATCTCCCGTGATGAAAATTCCACAATCTCCCTGGGCAACCTCTGGCAGTGCTCAGTCACTCCCGCAGTAAAGAAGTGTTTGCTGATGCTCAGAGTGAGCCTTCTGTGTTTCAGTGTGTGCCCATGGCATCTGGGCACCACTGGAAAGCCTGGTTTGCCGCCTTGGCACCTTCTGTTCAGTTATTTATAGACATGGATGAAATCCCCCTGAGCCTTCTCTCCAGGCTGAGCAGTCCTAAATCAGTTTTTTCTCATAGTGATGCTTCAGGCCCTTTGGCATCTTAGTTCCCCTTCACTGGACTCCCTCTGGTATGTGCCTGTTTCTCTTGTACTGGGAAGCCCAGAATAGGACGCAGCACTCCAGGTGTGGCCTCTCCAGGGCTGAGGAGAGGGAAAGGGTCACCTCCCTGACCTGCTGGAGATGGTCCTCCAAATGCCACCCAGTACACCATTAGCCTGTCTGCAAGGGCCTGTTCCTGGTTCATGTTCAACTTGGTGTCTGTCTCAACCTGATTGGAAGACATATGTGACTCAGACCTGGTCCGAGTTAATATATTTGTCACCTGTTTGGAATTAAGGCACAAATGAGGCCAGATGCTGAAACTAACAGACTCAAGTGTTTCTTCCTGGAGAGGTCAAAGCAGAGAGAGAAGAGGGAGGGGGAGAGAGAGATCAGAAGAGTTGCAAGCAGATAGTCACCACCCCTGGATTCAGCAACATCTCATTGGTCCTCTTCACCTAGGGTGTTGCCAGTGGTGGGAGCTCCCCTCTGACCTCAGCCCTGCCCTTGATGTTCATGTACTTTGGAGTGTTATCCGTAACTTGCATGCAGAGAGTAGGGATAATGATGGATGTGTTTTACTGAACACATGCATAGTTCCAAAGTTGGGGGTCCGCGAGGGTCCTCGGGGTGGTCATGCCTCGTATTGTGGTACCCTATCCTTTGAGTCAGCATTTTTCACAGACCTATGGAGACTTATCAGCTTCAAATGAGGGGGTGAGAACAATCCTGCCTATGCAGTATTGAAAGAAACATCCTTGTTTGCTTCATATGCGATAATTCTTGCAAAGCCTCCCATGGTCAAATGCAAATGGTATCTGAGACAAGCTCAGTAAAAAGTGGTGTTTGAGAAGTGATGTTTGAGCCAAGCTCAGTTTCCAGCATCCATAAGGACCCTAAGGTCCCTTCATGCCAAGTTGTCTTCCAGTTGGACAGCCCCCAGTCGTCCTGGGGCGTGGTATTGCTCATCCCCACGTGCAGGTCTCTGCACTTCCCCATGCTGAACTTTGGAAGCCTCTGACTTATCCAGGCCTTGTTCCCAAGTCAGTAAAGTGGATTTGCACAGGGACCTGATCTGGCTGAAACCAACTTTTAGGTAGTTCTTTTAAATCTCATTAGGATCTGGTCTTCTGCATGTCAGACCAGGCAGCTCTGACTTAGACAGGTATGAAGCGCTATTCTAAGACCCATAATTAGTTTATCCTCTTTATCTAACTGTAGTTCATTGCAGCTGCGTTTCAGGTGGCTGGTATGGGGAGGGGAGCAGACATGGATCACCCTGATGGTGCTGTAGGGTTTTGGATGAAAAATTAACTGCTGCTGCAAAGCTGCTACTGCATGCCAAGGTGAGCAGAGAAGTAGAAAGCAGAGGTGGTTGCCCAACCAACTGAGGAAAAAGTGATGCTCTTGCCCATGATTTGGAACACCTTACAGCAAAGAGAATGTTAACTGCTTTTCTTGATATCACTGCTATGTGCAGCAGAGCCTATTCTGACCATGTCTGAGAGCATCACCCCTAATTTAGCCCAAATGCGAGAATGGCTTATCTGCAATTTATGTCACTATTAGCTGATGCACTTTGGAAGGCAGCTGTTTGCTTTCCCAACAACACAGCAGAGTTCTCCTCTATGTGGAAAGAAGTGCCAAGGCAGGGATGTGGCAGTGGGATGTGGAAGGGGACCGGATATCCCATCGTGGGCCCAGAGAGATACTCTGCAGTGTTGGGCAGCCCCCACTGAAGCAAGCAGGACAGGGCTGCAAGCAGGTCCCATGGAGGGGACTCTTGCCAAGGTGTGAACCACAGCAAGGTGTAGGTAGGCTAGAGGGATTCGGAGAACCCAGTAAATTACACTCCTTGCTGTCCACATCACGGAGAGAAGAGTGTGAGTAGATGATCCCTTGTAAACAGGAAAGGGTGAAAGGAGAAATCCAGTGGCAGTGGGGAAAGATGCTTTGCTGCAAATGAGGAGAGGTTTACTAACACTACTTAACTTTATGGGGTCACCTTACTCGAGAGCACACCTTGGACATTGAAAATGCAAGATACACTGGGTAGCTCTCCAGAATCATGTGTGTAGGTCGGCCTGTGGGAGGCTGACGGGCACGGAACCTCTCGCCACTAATCCTCTGCCACCACCCAGTACTTTGCTAGCATACAGACAGCATTATAGTCCTTTTGATAATGTGTTTGGCCACCAGATAAAAGATTCTATGAAATAGGCTGGACACAGACTCTTTCTCACACCAAAGAGCATGGAGCTCTGTAGGACAGTGTCAGGTTGGAGTCAGCTTCTCTTGGCAGTGCTGGCATATTGTCTCACAGCTGATTCCTGCACAGACAGCAGGAGGACAGGCACAGCAGCCGGGAGGCACTCAGCTTTTGCCAGTGCTGCCTTTCTGGAAATTATGAGCTCTAATTAACTTACAAGCAGACAAATGCACTCTTCGAGCAAAGCAAAATGCAAGGTCTGTGCTGTGCCAAGAAGCAGCTGTGCAGGTCATGAATGTGCACTGGCTTTGCACAATTTTCAGGTGATGAAGAAGCCAGCAGAGCTGTGGACTGTACTTTAAGCAATCTGCCGGGTCAGGGTGACTGTGAGCTGTCACCCACTGTCACGATGAGCACCTGCCTTAGGGTGTTGTAGAAGTACAGCATGCTGCTTCCATTATGCTCTAAAAACTATCTATGGTAATACAAGATCATGAAATATTTTACGATTAATGCATGCCAGTGAAAGTTATTGAGGCCCCACTGAATTCTCTCCACAAAAGAAGAGAATAGTCTTTTCTGACTCTGTGTCTGAAAGTGCTAACAGTACTGACCACTCAGGGTCTTAAATACATTTAACATAAAATTGAAAGATTAATTGGGA